CACCTGCAACGTTTCGTACGTCACAATGACGTCAAAACAGACGTATCGTCGTCGTTACGTCGAACAACGACTATGACGTTGGTTTTCTTAATGAAGAAAAAAGAAAAAAGAAAAAAAAAAAAAAAAAATAAAGAGCGTAAAATTATCCAGTAAAAAAAGTCCCAGAAATATTTTTTTCTCTTGGTCGCTTTGCTTTAACTTTTTTTTTTTTTTTTTTTTTAATTTTCTTTTCCTTTTGTCTTTTCTCCCCTTTGTTTCCTTTTTCTTTTCTTTTTCTTCTTTCTCTCTTTTTTCTTTTCTTTTCTTTTCTTTTTTTTTTATTCTTATCGACGATCGATAACTTAGAGACTATACTTATAAGGGAATAACGATATTTTTTTTTCTTTTTCTTTTTTTTTGTTTTTCTTTTTTTAATAAAATTTACGAGGAATTTGCGATAAAATTTACGAAGAATTTGCGATAAAATTTACGAGGAATTTGCGAAAGAACAAAAAAAAAAAAAAAAAAAAAAAAAAGAAAAAAAAAAGAAAAAAGACAACGAACGTTATTTTTTTTTCATCTTTTTCACAGAAATACACGATCGAGTAAAAGTATGCGTGAAACGTGAAAACAAAAAGAAGAAACAAAAAGGAAAGGAAGAAAGAAAGAGAAGAGAAAAAATAAAAAAAAAATAAAAAAAAAAAATATTGTGACGATCGACGCCAATAATTATGTTAATGTGGAAAATTTTAAATATCAAGATCGTATTAAAAATCAAATTGATCTTCTTTCGTCGAGACTTCCTTTCTTTTTTCTTTTTTTTTTTTTTTTGTTTTTTTCTTTTCTTTTCTATACAAACTACTAAAACTACGAGCTAGTAGAATTTTTTCACGGTTTACAGAGGAAAAAAAAAAAAGGAAATAAAAAAAACATAATAAATAAATAAATAAATAAATAAATAAATAAATAAACAGATGAAACAAATTGGAAAAAGTCTGATAGATATTTAAAATCATTCGAAAAGAAAAAAAAAAAAAAAAAAAAAGAAAAAAAATATTCGATCGACGTAGAAACACTTTTTCTATCCTCGTTCTCATCTCCTATTAAAACTTCGACGACATTGCTTATCGGCCAACCTTGAATATATTGAATAAATCTATATATATATATATATATATATATACACCTACACACCCACACACATACACACACACATATATATATATACACATACACATATATGTATATGTAATAAATAAAATCTAATGAATGAAATCTTAGAATAGAAACGATCAATCGAATCTAGTTAACGTAAATATAAACTTTCTTAAAAAATTGATTTACAATCGATCCATTCGATTACCACGTTATATATATATATATATATATATATATATATATATATATATATATATACGTATATACACGTACATATATGTATTAAATTATATAGACGCATAAGGCATGTTCTATGTATTTAGTAATGTTATTAATGAAAAAGCAGAACTCTCTAAAGGAGTGAAGAGAAACGTCTGGCGAGTAAGAGAGGCAAATCTTCTTCGTCATCTTCGCTGCTCTCGTACCGTCCTAATTATACATGTTTCTCCGTATTTCTGGAATATAGATGGGTGGAGGGGAAACAGAAAGAGAGAGAGAGAGAGAGACTCTTGAGAGAAAAGAGACACGAGGGAGCGCGAGAGAGAAGAGTACGAGTAACCGCGAAAAGCTCAGTCGCGCGTGGTCCACCTACAATCACGCATATAATTTAGTGTGTTCTCTATCTATTTATCTATTTATCCATTTACCTATTAATCTATCTATCTAAGTATCCCATTCAGTTGTCTCATCTTTTTTTTGTTTTGTTTTTTCTTTTTTTTTTTTTTTTTTCTTTTCTTTTCTTTTCCTTTTTGTTTTCGATCATCACTCTTATTCTCCTCTCCTATCTAATTATCATTGTCTATTATATCCCTCTTATCCTTGTTTTCTCCCCCCTCTCTTTCCTTTTTCTTTTTCCCTTAATCCCCCAACACCCACCCACCCCCTTTGGTCTCTATCGCCCATATCTCTTTTCTTTGTCTTCTTTCGTTTCTCCTTTTTTTTCTTTCTTTCTTTTTCTTTCTTTCTTTTTCTTTTTTCCTTTCCCTACACCAAGAAACAATCCCACGAAAAATATCTCGTAACGATCGATACTTTTAATCGTTCGTAATTTTTCAAAGATATCATCATTATAATATTTTCTAATATCGATAATATTATTCCCTTTCCCCCCCCCCCCTCCTCCTCCCTCCCTACCCCTCCTCCGATTGTAATCATTTTAACAGAGCAATCGAATAAGAGTTATGGAATTAAAATGACATACGTACGTGAGGGCTATACGTTATAACGCGAATTGGATAACTTTCGAAGGGTACTCTGCTTCGAAAGGTTCTGGAAAAAAAAGAAAAGAAAGAAAAGAAAAGAAAAGAAAAAAAAAAAAAAAAAGAGAAAAAAAGAAAAGAAAAGAGAAAAAAAGGAAGAAGAAAGAAGAAAAAGAAAAAGTGTAATCTGTTTATCGTCAAGTGTGTAACGTCGTGAATTATTAACGCGGTGAATAGTATAGTGAACGTTTATCGAAAAAAAAAGAAAAAAAAAAAGAGAAAAAAAGAGAGAAAAAAAATCTATTCTAAGGAACGAAAAAATCGGGGAAGAAAAGGCAAAAGAAAAGAAGAAGAAGAAGAAGAAGAAGAAGAAGAAGGGAAGGTTTGAGTGCGTTAAACTTAAATAAAAATAAAAGGGCCTTTAATTCGTGAAAAGCATCATGGCGACCACGGAGATATTCCAGGATTGGGATTCTCCCCATGAAAATATTTCATCCATGACCAGGACGACTACACGAAAAACTACTAAAACAACTAGACGCGAGGTGAGCTTACGAGTATCGAAATCGATCGATCGATTTCGATTCGATTCATTGATCATTTATTGATCGATACACAATAATAATATAATCATATGAAAGTTTTATTGCGATAACAATGAAGAAAAATTATCTTCCGTCATCATACGATTTATTGTACGATTAGATATATAAGAAAAAGGAAAATAATTATTATAATAATAATAATGATAATAATAATAATAATAAGTGACAATCGATAAAATACCTTAATAATATTAATTCAAATATATATATATATATATATATATATATATATATATATATATATTATTTTTCAATTACCAATATATAAAGCGATATATTTTTAAATATATATATATATTTAAATCAATTTATATATATATATATATATATATATATACATGTATGCGTATAAAACCCTTCGTTGCAAGTTAAATATTCCTTGTCTATATGAGTGATAGTCAAGAGTATGACAAATTTTATGCATTTTCGAGTACCGTTTTAACGACACATCACGTGACATTCGTAATACTAAAACGATACAAGCTAATCAATGTCTCTCTCTCTCTCTCTCTCTCTCTCTCTTTTTAACCGAAAAAGAAAAATAATAAATGAAACAAAGCAAAAAAAAGGAAAGAAAAAAGAAAAACGAAAAAGAAAGAAAAACGAGACGTCACGAGATAATAAAAAAAAAAAAAAGAAAAAAATAGAAAAATTAAAAAGAAAGAAAGAAAGAAGAAAAGAAAAAAAAAATCAATGGAGATAATTCTAAGGTACGATGAAATTCGATCGAAATTATACGGATCGATCTTACAAGGAACGTTTTTAGAAGTTCGAGATAGCCCTCTGCATTTATAGGCCCGTTGCCAGGACCCAAGGCCGATTTGCTTTTCCAACTTAAAGCGTGATAAACAGCCATGAAAATCGTAAACTTACGCGGATGAATAATCGCAGGAAAGAGAGAGAGAGAGAGAGAGAGGGAGACAGTAAATATATTTTGTACTTACACATATTCTCATTCCATATAGATATATGCCAAGAAAATGTTCCTAATTTTTTTATCCCCTCCCTCCTCCCTCTCTCCTTTCATTCTTTTCTTACTTTTAATTCATCCAATTCATAGAGATTAGAATTTATTCTTAACTTCTTTTTCTATTTTTCTCTTTGTTTTTTCTTTTTGTTTTTTTTCTTTTCATTTTTTGTTTTGTTTTTCCATAACATAATCTTCTGTCGATTTCTTATCATAAGTCTCTATCTCTATATCTGTCTTTGTCTCTTGCTCTTGCTCTTGCTCTTGCTCTGTCTCTGTCTCTTTCTCTTTCTCTCTCTCTCTCTTTCATGATTCATCTTCCCGTGAGAGAAGTATTTTCGTTCTATAGAGATATAAGAGAGAATCGAGTCTCGTTGAAAGACGCCTAACTTTAAAATGATCTATTATATTATATTATACATGTATATATATATATATATATATATATATATATATATGTGTGTGTGTGTGTTTGTGTACATGTTGTATATACTTGATTTCGACTTTTAAACGTGAACGAAATAATAATTTTATATAATATGAAATACGAAAAATTCTTGTCTATTAATCGATTTTCGATATTAATGAAAAAATTTGATTATTACGTGTAAAATTTACATTTACTCAATTCATTATATCAATCACGTATTTGATGTATTTTAACGATATGACATAATAAGTAACATTGAATAGGATACTCGTTCAACTCGTTCGTAATATTTATAAAATTTATAAATCGACAAAATACTCGTTCGTATTAGTCGAAGAAAATTTAGAGATGGAAAACAAACAAAAAAAAACAAAAAAAAAATGACGAAATAATCCGGATTTTTTTCTTTGTAAAAGTGCGTTCAATATGATCGCATATATATATATATATATATATATTTTTTTTTCTACAATCATCGAACGAGACAATGAGAATCTAAAGAGAAAAGACAAGAGAAAAGAAAAAGAAAAGGAAAATAATAATAATAATAATAATAAATGAAAAAAAAAAAATGAAAAAAAAGAAAGAAAGAAAGAAAAAAAGGAAAAGAAAGCAAGAAAGAAGAAAGAAGAGAGAGAGAGAGAGAGAGAGAGAGAGAGAGA